AGGAGAACTGGGGCGAGCAGCTCGCTGTGCCCAGGGCTGCAGAGGTCAGGGGAGGTCTTGGGGGTCTTGGTTGCCAGCAGAGGTAGGTAGAACCAGGGGGCCAGCGAGAGTGAAAGAGCCGTGGGGAGCCCCTGGAGGTGGCCAGAGGGGCTCGGGCATGGAGAGAGGGCCGGTGTTGAAGTGACCTGGGCCTGGGCAGCTGCAGCCCTCGGAGGATGTGTGGGGCAGGGTGCTGAGGGTGCGTAGGGCTGGTCGGTCGTGACAGGCAGGCTGCGGCAGCTCCCCCCAGACTGCTCTCAGTGGGGCAGGCAGGGCTGGGCCTCCCCCTGCACCCCTGGAAGGGCTCAGCATGGCTCCCTGGGGGTGGGCCGGCCCCGGACCCTCTACTGCAACCCTAGCTCCAAGGAGCAGAGCCAGGCCCCAGGCCCGCCTCCCCTCCGCCCAGCCCGGGGCTGCCCACGAGGGGCACGGTGTCCCCCACTCCCATTGCTTGTCTCGACCCCCAGCCCCCTCATCTCCAAGCCTAGTCTCCCCTCCTGCAGGAAGCCCCTGCCCGCCGCTCCCCTCCCTCTCTCTCGGGGGCTGCCCGCATGGGGGCCCTGCAGGGCCCAGGGGCTTGGTCAGGACCCAGTGCCGGCGGGTGCTAGTGGCAGAGGAAAGCAGCAAGCGGGAGGTTGAAGACGGGGTACAATGTCCAGGACTGGAGGGCCAGGCCACCCACCCCCTCCGCAGTCCTCATGGAGGTGTGGGCACAGACAGATCCTCCGAAAAGGGCTTGGAGTCGGGGTTGGAGGGGAGAGGGGAGAGGCCGGGCCAGGCCTCCTGGCACCCTTGGGCGCCGGCCTCACCCTCCCTGGATGCCAGGGCCCAGCACTTGCAGGGCAGGGCAGGGCTACGCTCTGCTCCTTTCCACCCACATCCCAGTGGCTTCTGCTACGGCCTCAATCTCGGGAGGGGTGTAAGTCCCCAGCTGGGAGGATCCCTGGGTCCCCATCTCCAGCAACAGCTTAGGTATCCAGAACATTCCAGAACCTTCCAGCTCCCAGGGTTGGGGTGATGGCACTTCATTCTTCCCTTGCCCCTCCCCCCATGGTGCTCCACGTCTGCAAACCTGCTACCGAAACTGCCCCAGACCCCCGGCCCACCCAAGACTGCCCCAGTCACCCGGCCCACCCGAGACTGCCCCAGTCTCCTGGCCCACCCGAAACTGCCCCAGTCCCCGGCCCACCCAAGACTGCCCAAGACCCCCGGCCCACCCGAGACTGCCCCAGTCCCCTGGCCCACCCAAGACTGCCCGAGACCCCCGGCCCACCCGAGACTGCCCCAGTCCCCCGGGCCCAACCCGAGACTCGCCCCCACAGACCCCGCCACCCTGAGAAGCCCCAGTCACCCGGCCAGATCCCGCATGACTGCCCCCGAGAGCCACCCGGCCGCAGCGCGAGACTGCCCCATGACCCCCGGCCCACCTGGACTCGACCAGACCCCCCGGCCCACCGACTGCCCAGACTGCACCGAGATGCCCCCGACGGCCCACCCGAGACTGCCCCAGATCCCCGCCACCCACCGAACTGCCCAGATCCCCAGGCCCACCAGAGACTGCCTGAGACCCCCGGCCCACCCAAGACTGCCCCAGACCCCCGGCCCACCCGAGACTGCCCCAGACCCCCCAGCCACCGAGACTGCCTGCAGACCCGCGCCCACCCGAGACTGCCCCAGTCCCCCGGCCCACCCCGAGACATGCCCCAACCCGCCACCTGAGACTGCCCCAGTCACCCCGGCACCTGAGACTGCCGCCAGACCCCGCACCGAAACTTGCCCCAGACCCCCCGGCACCCGAGACTTCCAACGAGACCCGAGCCACCCTGAGACTGCCCAGTCCACCCGGCCCACCTGAGACTGCCCCAGACCCCCGGCCCACCTGAGACTGCCCCAGACCCCGGCCCCCGAGACTCGCCACCAGACCCCCGGCCCACCTGAGACTGCCCCAGACCCCCAGCCCACCTGAGACTGCCAAGACCCCGCCACCCGAGAACTGCCCAGAAGATCCCCAGCCACCCGAAGACTGCCCAGATCCCCGCACACCAAGACTGCCCGAGACCCCACCCACCAGGGGGGGAGGGGGGGGAGGGGGGACGGGCGGCCGCAGGGGTATTAGACTGCCCAGACCCCCGGCACCCAAGACTGCACCAGTCCCCCGGACCACCCCGAGACTGCCCAGACCCCCGGCCCACCCGAGGACTGCCCCACCCAGCCACCCCGAGACTGCCCAGACCCCGCAGTCCCACCTGGAGACTGCCCAGTCCACCCGGCCCACCTGAGACTGCCCCAGACCCCCGGCCCACCTGAGACTGCCCGAGACCCCCAGCCCATGCCTGCGTCCACATGGCGAGGCCCCTGCCCCTCCTTCCCTCCCACAATCCGGCACCCAAGTGAAAGATGGAAGACTCAGAAAATAGTAATTTTAAATGCTTTATTGGGGTTGCGAGCGTTACAGGTTAAAGACAAAACCCAAGCCCTGGGCTTTGCCGGAAACATGAGCATGTTAGAGGAGTTGAGTCGAGGCAAACACGGCCGCTGCAAGATGGGCGGAGACAGCGGCAGGTGACTCGGGGTGTTTGGCGCGTGGGGGGTCTTCAGGTGATGGTCCAGTGGGGGACCCAAGAGGGGGTCCCGCTGAAGACATTGTCGGGGAAGAGACAGATGGGGGGCCACAACTATGGCTCGGGAGGTCAGACGGGGGCCCGGGTCGGGATGGACTAGGACCCAGGGGAGAGCTGCAGGCCGGGCGAGGGGCACAGAGGGTGGTCGGCAAGCGCTCCCCCGGAGCGCCCGCCCCGTCGAGGCGAAGGAATACTGGGGGCGGGCGTCCGGCGGGGTGGGCGGCAATTTGGGGTGCCTCGAAGTCTTTTGGGTCTCGGGCCAATCTGGGTCTCCAATCGTGGTGGCGGTTTTGCTCTTTGGGCTGCGTCCAATGTTCCGAATGGCCCACTCTCCGGGCGCCTGCCGAGGACCCTCTGTGCCTGGTGTGGGCGGGCTGGCGTGGACGACCCCCGGGGTCACGCCAGCCCTGTCGCCAGGGCCCCGAAGCCTTAGGCCTCTAGACTGCTAGTCGGACCGCCGTGCGGGGGGGCTCCGCTGGGGGCACAAGTGGGGGCGAGGTAAACCTCCCAGCTGCCCGGTCCCCCGCCCCAGTCCTAGGCGCCGTTTGAGGGTGGCTGCGGCGGACGGCCAGACCCACGGGCCTCGGGGCCCAAGCGACCCGGCCGATGGACACTCTGGCAGCTCTCCTGCTCTGCGGGGCTCAGCCCTCCTGACCTCCCCACTGCCTGGCCTCACCCCACCTTGCCCCGGGGAGGCCCTGCGGAGCTTCAGGCCTCCCCGGGGACAAGGCAGGGCGCTGGAGAGCGGGCAAGATGTCACCGAAGGAGGGGGCAGGGCTCCCCAAGTGCTCGGAAGGCGGCCACCTGCTCCAGCCCGGTGGAACTCCTCTGCTCACACGTCCAAGGCCCCTTCCCCCCCAGCCAGCCTGGGGCTGGCCGGGGGCCCCAACCTGGTGGCCTCCGAGCACCTTCCTGACACCTGGGGAGACCCCGCCCCACCCCCTCCTCCGCCCCCCAGGACCTCCGGGGACCAGCCACTGTCCCCAGAAGCCAGGCCGGGCAGCGGCCCTCTCCATTCCCCTCTGGCTGCTCCGTAGGGTGCTGTGGCCGGCACCCCACGGAGGCCCCACTCTCGACCCAACCCAAGCGACAGGGACAGATAAAAAAAAAAAAAATTAAATGCAGGGAGATAAATGGCGGAGGACAGGACATGGTGGTCTTGTCTGTTGGTTCCGTGCACAATTACTTGGTCCTGCCCCCCTGTTACATGGGGAGGGGGTATAATTCGGCGCGCGTAAAAGCTAAGGAGGGATAAAAAAAAAAAGAAAAAAAAAAAAGGAAAAATGCCCCAAGAAACAAAGAGGGGAGATAGATCAATTGACGTAGAATTTGGGGTCCTAATTGCCGTCTGTCACCCTGCAGGTCTCCTGTTTTCCTCCTGACTCCTCCGAATCTGTCTGGGCCACCTCTCACCCGAGAGCTTCCCCCCCACCCAGCCCCCACTGCCCCCCACCCGCCCCGCCAACCGCCAGACTTCCCACTCTCCCCGTCACCTTCGCCAGTCTCCGGGGGGGCTCCCAGGAGGCTGGTGAAGGTGACCCTAGGTGTGCTCGGGAGGGGGGGTCCCCTAGATCTTACTGCCAGCAGCACACCCAGGGAGTCAGGCTGCCAGGGGGGCGGGCACGTCTTGCTTGGCTACAGCTGTCTCCCACCTGCCAAGCTCGTTCTTTGCTCTGCACAATGAACAGGGGGCTGGGGTGGGTGGGGGCTGGGGGGCATCGCAGCTCACACTGGGGGGCCGCGGAACAAGCACCCAGGAGGAGGGACGGCTCCCTCATTGTGGAAAGATGGTGGGTGTGTGTGCGTGTGAGTGTGTGTGAGTGTGTGAGAGTGTGTGTGAGTGTGTGTGTGGGCGGGTGCCTGCGTGTGTGTGTGTGGCTGCAGGGAAGCATGTGTGCTTTCTAGGGTGGGGGGTTCAGATGTACAATTTTTTTGGGGGGGGTGGGGTCACGCCAATTAAATTCTACCTGCCCGGATTCCGGTCCTCGCGTCCCATATTCCCATCTTCGGCCTCACTAGATCCCTCTAACTAGCTCCGTGACGGATTTTGGTGGTGGGAAATCGGGCAAAGAACGAGTTTGGGCCATTGCTGTTGTCGGTGCACCCCGAAAAGCCCGGGGGCGGGTTTCCCTGAGAAGACAGCGGCGCACAAGCAAGAGGGTGCCCACCTGCGATCTGGTCCCTTCTCTCTGTGGGTTCGGGCACCCGAGTCCAGGCCGATCTGACTCGAGGTCCAAATGGGAAGAGAAGAAGGGGGGGGGCGCCAAATTCCTTTATTTTGCCAATTGTTTCGAAGCCAATTTGTTTTTAGTATTTTTTTCAGCCAATTGATTTTTTTAGTTTTTTTTTTTTAAGCTAATTAGTTTTTTTTTTTTTCTGGTGTTTTTAGAAAGCCAATTAGTTTTAAGGGGGCTGGAGTGTGTAGTTTAGGGTTTTATGTTTCCAATTTTTTGATGCGCATGTGTAATTTGGGGGTAATTTAGGGGGCAAGTCGGGGTTGTGGAGGATGTTGAAAGCCAATCAATTCTAAATGGTTTTGAAGATGTTACTGTGGCCCGATGGAGGGGGGCCTGGGGGGCAGCCTGACCTGGGGAGGCGGGGCAGGGGGGCTGGGCTGGGGGGAGCCCTCGAGGGGGAGGTGGCACAGAGAGATTTCAGGGGTGGAACCTGCTGGAAATGTCCCTGGTCAGGAGTTCACAGGACGATGGATCGGTGCTGCAGGAGGACGACGCTTTGGTTCACTTCTGATCGCTGGGCATCTCCGAAGAGGCGTCCCCGTGGGTGGGGTCTTGGGCGGGCAGGGCCTGGGGGTGCTGAGCTTCTCTGACCGCCTTGAGCTCCTTGGCGAGCTCGTGACCCCGGCGGGCGCGCAGGAGGGCAGGCAGGCCCCTGCGCAGGCGCTGGGTGGACTGCTTCCAGCTGTCATATTGGAAGAACTTGCCCACGGGGTATCTGGGGAAGTTGTCCTGGGGAGGGAAGGGGCCGGTCACCAGGGGCCCACTCCCGGGTGCCCCTACCCGAGCCTCCCGCCCTCCTGCATGCATGGGCCTCTCTCCGTGACCCGGCGGGGGGACCTTGGCCACGCCCGCCACCGTGTAGCCGCCACGTGGCAGTGCGACTGGTCAGCAACCGGTGCTGGGGAGAGACGGTGGCAGCCACGAGAATGGCCTCCCAGTGGTGGCCCCGCCAGCCAGGACGCTGGCTGCCCACCCTGCCCCTGGGCCGGGAGCCCCGCTGCTGGAGGGGACGGGTCTCACCGGAAGCACGGTCGGAAGGGTCGACACGTCCCTCTCGGACTTGGCGGGGGTGGCGCAGTAGGTCTCCAGGAGGGCCAGGTCACAGCTGCGGAAGCAGCACTCCTCAACGATGCCACGGCTGCGGCGGTTCACACGGCTTGCGGGCCTGCCTGGAAGTCCCACGGGACACAGGGGATGGCTTTAGCACTGGGCACCGCCGGGCACAGGGCCGGGCGGGCCCCCTGGGGAGGCCCGGCCACCCTTCGGGGCAGGAGGGGAAGTGAGTGCTGCAGGCAGAGGTGCCCCAGAGAGGCGAGGACAGAGGAGGGGGTGCATGCATTAGGCCCCTGGCCTCGGGGCCTCCTTCCTTCCACAGGTTTAAATCGGGCAAAGCCCCCGGCCACACGGCCGGCCGGGCAGACACCACCAGGACCAGAGGCCCGTGCTGGCAGTGGTTTGGGAGCTGTGGGGTGTGAGCCCAGTTCGGACACCACCCAGCAAGGGACCACTGGGTGGACACCAGCGTGGGCCACACCCCGGGAGCCGCCGAGGCAGGCAGGCACAGGCAGGAGAGGAGAAGACGGGAGGAGAGGAGTGAGGAGGCCATGGAACCACTCGCTTCTTCCCTCCCGCCTTCCCCCTCTCCCCCACGGCAGGGCTCAGCTGTAAGAAGAAAGTCACAGGGGAGGGGGGAGAGGGACCCCACCCATAGTGGGGTCCCAGGAGCAGCGGGGCTCCTCCGCCCATCCCTCCTCCACTTCCTGCCCCCAGTGAGGCTGGCGGGAGGGAGGGCCCAGGGAGGCCAGGGCAGCAGAACTTCGAAAGCGTCAGTAGTGGGTGTGCTTTTCAGAGAGAAGCTTCGAAAGGCATGTGCATCCTGTGAGCCCACCTCAGTGTGGCAGGCAGCGTGGGCAAGCAGAGGCTGTGGAGGGTGTTGCGCGGCAAGTGTCAGGTGGCAAGGACGGGGCGCCCCATGCACGGGGCACGCCCCGCCTGTCAAGCTTGCCCCGAGCCCCACCCAGGTGCCCACCCAGCCCCCCTTCCAGGGGGTGAGTCTGAAGGACAGCGAGCAGTGAGCCCACCCTCCAACCCCCCAGGCCGGAGATCAGGAGAGAAACAGAAGAGCAGTATCCGAGCACTCTGGGGGGGCGGCAGGGGGCACCCCACCGCCTCTCCTCCTGCCACCCGCCGCCCGCCGCCCGTGTGCACACTCAGCCCCGGCACCACAGACCACGTTTGCTTTTGCTTTTATTGATCTTAAACCGATTTCATCCGGTTTTAAATCCTGCCATCTGTGCACACAGGCCCCTGTCAAATGCCCACCGAGTGCAGGAGAAGAGGCGGGTTGCTCCTCACCCGCCAGAGGCTCCACGGTGGGGGCTGGCATTGCCCACCGGGAGCTCCGGCCCCCGGGCAGCCCCCTGCGAGTGCATGTGAGGAGCCGGGCACCTCCGGCCACCCCCAACAGGAACTGTGAGTGCGTGTGGCAGGTGACACCGAGCCCAGGTGAGCTGCAGCTGCTTGGCCAACACCAGCTGGGACTCCAAGGCCTCAGAGCAAGGGCTGGCCCGGTCACCTGGGCGTGTCCTGCCCCAATGAGGCTAGGCGTCCTCAGCTGTCACCCAGGGAGGTCTCGCCTAGGTGTGCTGAAGCCACCCCACCCGACTGGGTGCCTGCTGTGTACGCCCCACCCCCCCAGCCCCAGCCCCAGCCCCCCCCCCCAGCCCCAGCCCCGGGCTACTTACTGAAGTAGAAGCCGCGGTCCCCACAGACAAACTGGAGGGTGTCCACCAGCTCCCCGCCGCACAAGGTCTCACTGGGGCGGTAAGCAGCAAAGCAGCACGAGGCCAAGGCCAAGAAGGTGAGAAGCACCAGCATCGACTTCCCCGCTGGGACCCCCATTGGTATCTGGGGGCAGGAGACACACAACACCGTGAGCCGGGTGCCCGGCGGACTGGGAGGCGACAACGCAATTGCAACTCTGAAGCTCGGCTTCCCCATAGGCGCTGGCATTTTAATCGCAAAATAACACACACGCCTCAGCGGCTGGGGTGGAGAGGGCTGGGTGGTGGAGCCACAGGACGAGCTAGTAGCGTGGGGTGGCCATGCCCGCCGGCACTATGGCAGGGTCTGGCCACACCCGCGGGCGCCAGGGCCCTTGCTGGACAGTGGGCCTGGTCTCCGGCCTGTGACATCATGGAGATGGGGCCAGCCCAAGGGCATGTCACCACTTCTTGGCCTCTGTGCACCAGCCAAGAGGGCAGAGCACATGTGCCCAGGAGGACCAGCCCTCCCCCCTCCTCCACCCCACCCCCAGCCGGACAAGGGGGTCCAGGAGGACCACCCCTCCCCGAGCAGCAGGCGGGGCCGGTGAGCCTCTCAGAGCTTCCACCCTTCCAGTGTGTGCAAAGCCCAGGTTGAGGCACCTATGGTCTCAGCACACTCACACCCCTTACTCCCCGGAGCCTGTTCTCCCAAGTCACCCAGTCCTCCACCTCCAGTCTCCCCCGGGCACCCCAAAACACGACAGAGCCAGCACGCCTCCTTTGCCTCCAATCCCACCACCTAAGGCCAGGGACCTCAGAGGCCCTCTGTGGCCACCTGGCCACTCCCCATCTGGAGTGCCGAACCCCGCCGGTGGGAGCCGGACAGCAGCTCAGGCCACCTGGGAGTCCGGACACCAGGTCCCTGCAGGTCCACCCTGGAAGCAGAGGCACATCCTAGGACACACCCCCTCTGTGGGTCCGGTGGCCACAGGGCTGCAGGGCAAGGGTTAACCGGCCCCCTGAGGGTGGGCGGCCTGGGACCCACACAGCAAGCGCCCCCGGCCCCCCCACACCCCCGCCCCGCAGAAGGTGGAGGCCTCCAGGCGGGCAGCCCCGGCCTTCCCCGACAGGCCTAGGGGAGTTCTTGATGCAATAAATCACGTGAGCCACGGAGCAGGGATGAGAAAGAAACACGAACTGAAAACCCCAGGGTCACCTCTTGACCGCACCCCAACCAGTCCCCCCACCGCCCCTGCCACCCCCTTCCCAAGTCCAAGAACACACTGGAGTGGGCGGCAGAAAGCAGGAGCCTGGACAAGAGGCACATGGAGGGGCAGGACAGGTGAGGGCCCAGGAACAGCAGGGAAGCTGGGCTCAGAGGGCCAGGAGCGAGGAGCAGAAGAGGGAACAGCAGGTGAGGAAGCCAGAGACCCAGGAGGAGGCCGGAGCGAGGCGGGCGCGAGGCAAGGCGCAGGCCGGCGACTGGGCCAGGCCAAGGCTGGCGGGTGTCCTGGGCTGCCGCAGGCTGGAGTGAGATGGCAGCAGGGTCCTCGCTCCACAGCCCCGGTTACCTGCAGCTGGACAAGAGGCTCGCTGGGGTTGAAGAGGAGGAGAAGGAGGAGGAGGAGGGAGCTGGACGTTTCTCTCGAAGGAGAAGCGATGTCCAGTTTGCAGGCTGGTCAGTGCCTGCGCTTTTATGTCTGAGCGGGCTCCTCCCAGCCCCGGCTCCACCCTGCCCCCACCCCTCCGCCTGCTGACCACTCCCCCCGCCCCTTTGCTCCCGCCCCCTCCCTCCTCCCAGCCAGTCCCTCCTCTCCTGCACCCCCCCCACCAGCTCTGGACCATCCCTTAGCAAAGTGCCTTGGGGGGGCTGGTTCTGCACCCCCTAGCCCATCCCCACACGGGTGACGGGGGGAGGGGGTATGTCTCCTCTCCACCTCCCTGCACGGAAACTTCCAGGCTGCCCACCGGGCGGGGGCGGCTGCCCCTCTGCAGCCCGCGCGCTCCTGCCCTTCCGAGCGTCACTCCAGCCCCTCTCCCCGATTCCTGCTCGGAGACGTTGGGGACAGAGAGCGAACGTGGGGGACACACTGCAAAGGTGGCGCCGGGCCGAGTCCTTCGCCAGCGCGCCCCCCTCTCCGTCCGGGCCCCGCCCACCAGTCTTTCCCTCGGTCTCGCTGGCAGCGAGTCAACATGCCAGGGTGGGCTTCTCGGGCTCTGCCCCCCACGCTCCCCGGCGCCCGGGGACGCCCGCCAGGCGCGGATCACACACTTCCCGCGACACCCCTGCACCGGCAAGCCGACCAGGAAGTTGGTGCCCTCGCAGACAGCTCACACCTCCCTCGGCGCGTCCCGGCGCCCCCGCCCCCCCAACTCCGGCGGTGCAGGGCGAGAGCGGGGCTAGGACGGGGAGCGGGACCCGCAGCCTCCCACCCTCCCGGGGCTCCGCCGGCCCGCGCCGAGCCAGCCCCAGGGCCGGGCGCCGCCGGCCCGCGCCGCACCGCTTACCTGGAAGCCGGCGACGCTGCCGCCCACCTCCCTGCTGCACGATTCGCAAACCAACAGCGGGCGTGGGCCCTCCTGCCGGGCACTCCTCTGCCAGCGCCGCTCTGGCCGGGTCGCGGGGGCCGAATGTGCGACGGGGCCGAACGGGGGGATGGCTTTTTTTGGGGGGTGGGATTTGTCTGCTCTTTCAGGGAGGACGGGCTGTCTTCGGGCTGGGGCGGGCCAGATGTTGTACTTTCGGGGGGGAAAGGGTGTCGTGGAATGAGGTCAGCTGTTGTATCAAGGACAGAGGGGGGGGCAGGACAGTGGGAGAGACAGAGTGAACGTGAAAGGGGGGGGGCCGAAGAGAGGGTTAGAGACGGAGAGAGGACAGCGAGGGGCGGGCAGGCTCACAGCGGGAGAGAACAGTGGAGAGAGAAACAGAAAGCGTATAATTAATCCACTTTGGTAGGCGAAGGCGAGAGGGCGGGCGTGGAGGGGGAGGGAGTCGGAGGCCAGGAGCTGGGGGGGACGGGAGGGAGCGAAGGGAAGGTGGCGGGAGAAGAGAGGGGCCGGGGCCAGACGCAGAGAGAGGATGGGGCGCACAGAGAAGCCAGGGAAGGGCGCAACGTCGGGGGCCGGGGGAGGTGTTGACGGGGGGCGGAGTTGAGGCGGCTCCCCGGCCGCGGGCACCCAGCTCGGTTTGGGCCGACGGAGCCCTCTGCCGTCGCGAGCCCGGGCCTGGGGGGGGGTCAGGCGGTGGCGCCGCCGGGGCCGCTCGGGACGCAGCGGAGGGGAGCGGCCGAGGCTGCGCGCCGGGGGAGGGCTGGGGGGGAGCGCGGGGGATGACCACGCCGGCGGCCTGCGAGCCGGACTGCCTGCGGGGGGGACCGCCTCCCCTGGCGAAGCGGGGACGGGGTTGAGGTAGACGACGAGGAGGCGGCGGGGGGTCCGCAGGCCTGGCGGAGCGCGGCCCGCCGACGGCGCCCGGGACGGGAGTCAGCAGCGAGGTGACGGACGGCGTCGGCGTGGGCCGCCAGCCCGGGTGGAGGCGCTGGCGGGCCGAGTGCGGGCGGGCGTGGGCCAAGAGGCGGGGGCGGCCGGAAGGGGGGGCCGGGGGCCGGCCTGGCCTCACGCAGCTCCGCCGGAGAGCAGGCGAACTTCGGGCGCCAACGCCCGGCTCTTATAGCCGCGCCACCCCGCGGCCAGGCGCCCGCTCGGGCCCCGCTGGCCGTGAGCCCGCGCCAATGGGCGCCCGCGGGGCCCTCGCCCCGCCCCCGGCCCGCCCCCGCAACTCGAGCCAGGGGGACGGGGGCCGGGGGCCCCTGGCCCCGGGGGGCGGCGGCGGGAGGGGGGCCGTGGGGTGCGGGGTGGGGGGAGGTTGGGTGGGGGAGGTTGGGTGGGGGGCAGGGAGCGACGGAGTGCGATCGGAATGCTGAATGCCCTTTCTAAAGAATTCAGGGGCCCTATCTCTGGTTTCCGGGGTGCCAGGGCGCCCTGGGTTCGTGCACATGGGGCACCGTGCTGGCAGGGGCAGGCGGCCTGCCAGGCTCCTGCAGCAGGCCCCAGGGGGCTACACGGCAGGGGCGCTCCGCCTCAGTGCAGGCGCAGGTGGCTCGTCTGGGCCAGGGACCCCGCTGTGAGCTGCAGGGGAAGGGGTCCCTGGACTCTGGCGGGGCGCACAGCCGCCACCTGCCCAAGCAGGAGGAACCGGCCGCGCGGCGCCTCGAGTGAGCGGCACTCGGATCCCGAGCGCCCCCAGGTGCCACGCCGAGCCTCGAGCACGGCTGCGGCCGCCAGGTGCGGACGCGAGAAAGGCCGGCTGGGCTGGGCCGGGCCGAACCCTGGACCTGGCTGGGAGCCTACCCAGGCTGTGGCCGCTGGGGAGAAAGGCTCAGCGCGGGAAACCGCTCAAATCCTACCTGCATGACCGAGCTCACCGGGGTGCGTCTAAGCAGCTCCCCTTTGGGGCCCACCCCAAATATCCGGATAATGGTTACCCAGTCCTCAGTGAGTTGGACTTGCGTAGACGCGGGTTCAGTCCCGGGGACCACCACGATAACTTGGGGGTCCGGGGACACCATCTCCTAGAGAGTGTGGACGATGTGAGAAGGCGTTGTGATTTGCACCAAGTCCAACCATGCACGAGACCCCGCACCCCGCCTGCCCCGTCCCAGGCCGCCGAGCCTCGCTAGGGGAAGGGGCCCCGGCGGAAACCCGCGCCCCTCGCCCCCCTCGCTCCGCCATCAATCACTTCGCCCGCGCTCCGCGCGCGCCTCCCGGAGCCCTGGGCCTGCGGGCTGGAGGCGCGGGGCCGCCCGGGCAGGCAGCGCCTCTCCTCTGCGTCCCTCCAACCCGGCGCCCCGCTTGCTCCGTGTCGGTGCCGTCAAGTCGCCTTCCCCACAAATGTGATCTTTGCAAAGAACAAACGAAAGTGGCGCCGGTTTCTGGCCGCCGAAGCCGGAGCGCGGCCGCGGCCGCCGAGCCGCAAACCCGCAGCTGGCTCCCGCGCCCAGCGCGGCGGCCCCAGAGGAGCGCCAGCCCGGGCGGGACAGCGGCGGGTGTGGGTCAGAAGCCGGGCGGGACCCGCAGAGACCGAGGGGCCGCACCGCGGGGGCTCACCGCAAGTTTGGAGGCCGGTCCGCGGCGCACGAGGAGCCCAGGCGACCGAGGAGCGCTCTGTGGCGGCGGCGGACGCTGCTGGAGGTGAGCGAGACCCCGGGGGCTGTCCTCGATGTGTCGGGGCAACGCCCAGTCCGTTGGAAGACCCGGGGACAATGCCCAAATTTGGGGGAAACTGGGGGCAATGCCCAGTCGTTTTCCTGGACACGGGAGAAGCAGCACAGCCCACGTCTTGGGGACGCGCGGGCGGCCCAAGCGTGTTTGAGGAGCACAGAAATTTCCAAAATCCGAGTAGCTCGGGGGACTTCGTAGGAGACGCAAAGAGGCCTGAAACCAGTACCCGCCTGCCGCGCGAGGGACTGGGGAGGCAGACGCGGGCGGCCGGCGGCGGGAACAATGCCCAAATTTGGGGGGAACGCAAGTCAGACCTCTGTCTGATTTGCGCGGAGAAAATGGGTGTCCCGAAGTAGGGGACCCAGGGGAGACTCTGTTGAAGTGGGAACTGTGATTAATGACTAAATTTGAGAGTCTAAAAAAATAGAGCCCAAGTTTGAGGAGGAGGGAAATTGCTCCAGGCAAATTGGGGTGATAGGGGTCTGTGTCCAAAATAGGGGGGAAGCCAGCATCTTGGTCAGCAGCCTTGGGGGACCCACCAAATCCCAGACCAGTTTATGGAGGGGCATATTTTTTTGGTTGAATCAAAATTCTCCATATGAAATTTGGGGGGGGGTACCTAAAAGGTAGATTGCCTCAGATGGGGAGGGGAAAGCAAATGGGTACATTTTGGGGATCCAGGCAAATTATTAGTGTGTGGGGGAAGCAGGGATTCACTTCACATTTTAAGAATGCAAGCGAGTGGCCTGGACACTTGCAGCACTAAAGAAAAGCAACCTCCCTAATTACCGTGGTTTCAGGGGGGAATTTTAATGTCCTTTAGAGACCCTAGAAGCACTATGTAAATCTGGGGGACCCTAGAGCATGATAAGTACATTTGGTGAATGCAGAAAATCAATACCTTTTTATATTTTATTTTTTTAAGTAGATATAAAGTAATTTATTGTTTATAAACAAGAAAGATTATATATATATATATATATTTTTTTTTTTTCTGGACAATGTCTGCATTTGAGGAAGCTCCGTAAAACATGTTTCAAGTTTTGGGGATCCATGAAAATTTACCCAAAGGAAACTGATAATCTGCATTTCAGGAAACCGGGTTAGTAGCTCAGAAATTTGTAGGACACAGGCCTTTAAAAGCCTGGGATTCCTGGGACCAAGGGGACGTTTTCCATGTGCTTTGGGGGGCCATGGAACAGTGCCCAAAGGCAGGAGGACTCAGGACAGGGGTTGTAAAGTCGGGAGAATCATAAATCAATGTTCAGAAAAGCTCAATCGTTTTGTGAAGGAAAATAATCTCCGTTTGTTCTGGAGGGCTGGGGAGACAATACCTCAAACCTGGGGGTCCCAGAGAAAAATAATTGTTGAATCTAAGGATGGGTGAAGCTGCTCAGGGTCTTGGAGGGCTTGGGAGTCAATACTACATTTGCAGGGAAGGCATTATGAATTCTGAGGTCTTTAGGGCCTGGGGAATCTACTCCCAAATTTTGTGATCTACGGGGAGCATGCAGTGCGTTTGCAGGAAACATTGCTTACTTTTGGGGTGACTCTGTGGGTGCATGGGTCTCTTCGGAGCCCAAGAAATCAGTCCCTTCCTGTGACCCAAATGTCCTGCCGAATGTGCCCTATTCCAGGGAGTCCGGCTTATCCAAAAGTGGGGGTGGGGGTGTCAGGAAAAGAGTCCAATGTGATCCTGGGGTTTGGGATTTGGGACCCGTGTCTGACTTTTTGAAATCCTTGTTGTCAGCAAGCTAGTGGCACTGGGCAGCTTTTTTATATTCAAAACGTTGTGTGATGCAGAGAAAAAATGCTCAGCATGTTTGGGGACACTTAAAAAAAAAAAAAAAAAGAACCCGGTATAACAAAAAAAAAAATAGACTCTGCCCAAGGTGTTAATTTTGTGTTCCGTGTGACCCAGAGGGATGTGGGGGGCCATGGCGATTTTAGGGGAGCTTAGAAGACCCCCGGTCACACTTGGGCGCATCCCGGGTGGGTAATCTCTGAGTGTGCTGGGGGGCCTGGGGTGACGTGATGGCGTTTAAATCTTAAAACAGGGATAGATGATAGATCAGTGGCCTGGAGCTCCTAGGGCCACAGGAACGAACACCCCCAAATCTCTGTGGCATGCCAAAATAAATAAATAAATGCACAAATAAAAACTCTCTATGCGTTTTGGGGGTCACTGAAAAATAATTCAACGGAACTCGGTGATAAGCGAGCAGATGGCGTTCACGACTCGGGAAAGGAGTTGGGTGGCTGTGGTGGGTGTCATTGCCTGAATTTAGGGGGAGGTGGGTGAGACAAGGTTCAAACGTCCAGGGTTTCAGGAAAATCTCTCCTCAGTGCGGGGGGACTTGGGGTTCCACGTGCAAAACTGGGGGAACCCAGGTTGGTGCCATGAGATTTGGGGCACTCAGCGGAGGGTGTCCTACAGTGTGGGGAGCCAAGGAAGACTGGGGGGATCCAAGCGAGGACGGGGAGTTCGAGACCCTGCGGTTAATATTCGAAGCTGTGCATAGACGCGGGAAGAGTCTACTTATTTCGGGAACAGCCCAAGCGTGAGAAAAGCGCGGTCCGCGTCCTGCGGAACCAAAGAGGTGGCGCGCTGCGGGGCTGAGGGGTTACTGCGTAGATTTTAGGGCCCCAGGTGAGTGGTGTGTGAGTCTGTAGGGCCTGGAGGGGTTACCTGAAACTGCTCAGAGCCCTGGAGAAGACTAATCTGGGGACCCAGGACACGTAGTGTAAATTCTGGGGGCGCCAGTCGAGGCTAGAAGCAATTTGAGTCCCCGGAAACCACTGTCCACGGGAGCTCTCCGCCCTGCGGA